CAACCCGCAAAAACATTTCTAAAATTATTTTCTTCCACAACCACAGTTCCCGTTGGAAACTTGCAAAAACTTCAGCTACATTAATTATACCTTCTACATTTCTGTGTACGCGAAAAGTTCCGTGTAAATTCCACGAAGAAGCATTGTCCGTTCTTAAAAAAAATCGTTACAAAGCCTATCTCGTTTACTCCGAGATGAATAATTCGCTCGTTTAAACATGTGTGCACGATATGCAGTTTTCGCTTTGTTAATAAATTCTATAACGTGGTCGTTATCGACGGCTGCATATGCATATTCATTTCATCGTACTTTTCATTTCCGTCCCCTTAATATATTATTCTAATGATTTTACCGCTTTTCATACCCGGAATCCCGCGGGACTCAATGTATTTCCGTTGAAACGGTATTCACGGAATACCATTCGCGCCCTTAAGCGATGAGCTGAAAAATTATTAAAAAAAAGATGGAAACGTGTGTAATTACGAAAGAAGCGTACAACGCTCTTCGACGTTGAGAAATTCGCGCACTGTGAACGGGACTTTACGAAACTTTCCTGCAAGTCGGCCACTTCGAACAAACCTAAAGCCACATTCTGAAACGTAGAATGCACTCCGTTGAGTATTCGGTGAATGCGTGCATTGCATATTCATTTGACTGCGTTAATACTTCATTGGAGTCGTTTTAAATACCTTGAGCGTCTATGTTAAGGCAATGTAAACGCGGCTTGAGGTGCGATACGGTAGACGAGAAAGAGTGCGATATGCATCATGAGGTTGTCGATGAGATGTAGCAATTTAGGAATTTTAGAACTAGAGATTTAGAGACTTCAAAATTTGGACAACTGGGAATTTGTGGATGAAGGGGTATGGAAATTGAAGTATTTGGGGATTTAGAAATTTGAAAATCTAGAATGTTAAGAATTTAGGTATTTGGGAAACTTTGAGATAAAAATCTTGAGATTTTGGTATCTAGGGATATAGAAATTTGAGAGTCTAGGAATTTGGGAAACTTACGATTTTGGGATGTAAGGATATTTCTAATGAGGTATTTGGGGATCTAACAATTTGAGAATTTAGGGATTTAAATCCACACATTTAGGAATTTGGGGACATGGGATTAAGAACGTTGAGATTTGGAAACCTAAGGATATTCAAATTTTGAGACTTGAAGATCTAGAAATTTGAAAAACTTGGAATGTCTCGATGGAAGGATAAGAAAATCCTATTGTGCATTAGAACAAGTACATGTATTTCTGCTTAATTCTCTACAAAATGATTGTCACTTTCCTAATGGGTAAAGAAGTGTGAAAAAATTATATAGTTTGACTACTTACCACAGAGAAGCTTTTGAATCAATTTATAGGCTAATAAATATAATTCTGATTTATATGCCTTCAAATGGGATTAATAATGCAAATATAAAAAATATTACTTTTAATGTGTGTATAAAATGTATACTATTCTACTGTTATATAATTCAATAGAACAATGAAGAGAGGTTAAGTTGAGATTATATTAGCTATCTTAAAACAAAATGGCTGTAAATGGTTCAAAGTGGCTGCTCTCAAACATTGATACTGACTAGTATGTTTGTTATTATTTTTATGTTTGATATTAACATGTGTTGATAATGTTATGAACAGTAGTAGTGTATCATTATAATTATAATTTGAACAGGTCAAATTTACGGAAAATATGAAAAATGCTGGAAATTTATCGTGGTAATTCGATGGTCAGGAACTATAAAAAATGTATTAAGTTGATAATATCGTAAGATATTCTACCATTGAAGTTTGAAGTCCCTTATTCCAGTCCAATACTGGCAATTTTAAAATTCATGATTTACTTCCCCACACAGCGTAAGTCTACACACGATTTACATACTATCCATATTCGGTATTTGCATTAAATTTTATGAAACTTTTCTGTTGGACGCAGTTATCGCGAAATGTACGAAAGTCTCTAAGATTTAATCTTTTAGTGAATATTCAAAAGGACAGCCAGTTATTTCAAAGGGAGTAAAAGTGTGGTAAAAAGGTAGAAAGAAGAAAAAATGAGGCTGAAAAAGGAGAATGGCTAAAAGTGGTGTTCTCGTAGACGTGGAATGATTTCTGGATTTGTTAAATCTTAACTTCGAACATGGGAAAGTAGCTTAAAGTTCATTAACAAAATGTGTCATAATTTGAAAGTAGTGAAGGCACATTTTTCATGTCTGTAAGAATGGAATAAAATAAAATATAACAATGTACGAAGATCAAATTAATTTCTACTGTTCAACATAAAAACAAAATTTGTACTACTGTAAAAATGTATGTAACTTAACCTAACAATCAAGTTGGTTCAATCTTAACTAAAAAGCAAGTTACTGCATTTCTCGCTAGTTCCCACAATTCTAGATTCCTAAATCTTAAAAATTTTTATTATAAGAAATGATAAAAAAGAACACTTACATAAACATGTCGGAGGACTTACAATTAACGATTATTATCACGATAACAAATTGCTATATACAGGGTGTCTCACCACATTTTGCCATCTAGATTTGCGTTATTATTATTACTCATAACAAACAATGTTTTAGATAAAGTTGAATGGTTTTAAGGGTGGCATATGCTGGTGGTATATTTTTTTTGGTAGGCGAATGTGTAAAGGACATATGAAAGTCATTAATGTTTTTTTAAATGGAATCATATATTTTTTATTGCATCAACTGATACTCCATCATATTCTTTACAAAAAGTATTAATCTCTTTATATGAGAAATCATTAATTCAGGAGATATTTTAATTCTAACTTGTTAGGAAATCGTGACTTTCTGGTCAATATTATGAATTATCCTAACTGAACAGCAAATGTTATTCTACGTGCTTTGAGAGGTCACGTGTCACCAAACAAATTGTGAGTTTTTGTTTTTTTTTTGTTAAGCAGTAACAGTGAAATTTAGTCTCTGTTACGTCTCTAGTACGGAGAATACGACGATACGGTGAATTATCACTTCATAATGAAGTATTCTGAAAAGGAAAAGATAGACATGTAGGATCGGAAATTATCGAGGTTGACGGATTAGAAAGTTTTTCTTGGGAATAACAATAACCTAGTTTTAATAACTTAATAAGAATATAAAAATCAACAAAAGTATAAAGAATCAAGTACAAACACTTAGGCTACAACTTTTCGGACAACTTTTCGGACAACGTGCTACTTCAACGGTTACGACTGGACTGTCCCGCGACGCCACGCCGTTTTCCTTATTCGTTACCAATTCCCGCGTAAAACGAAACAATTGCTAATCGCTTCTTTGTTCCCTCGCTAATTTTCGCGCAAACTCGTAGTAACGCCGAATTATCTTGGCGCCAATCGTCCACGTTTCCCGCTCGCCCGATCACGCCCGATCGTATTCGATGAACCCCGGAAAAACCGATCCCACAGACATGTTATCAGTTTATTTTGAAGATGGGAAAAGTGCTGCACATTCAGAAAGATTATACGCTATAGAATGTTGGTAAGTCATTAATTTCTCGATTCAGAAAGTGTTCTGATGCAAATGGTCGCCACATTGAACCTTTTCTGTAAGTAGACATTGAAATTAAAATAATTCGAAGACCAGAGACTGTTGTAGCTGGATATTAAACGTCCCAGTGTCGGGTATATTCTGGTGAATTGTCCGTTAAGGGCTAAATATCAGAAATTACTGTTGTAAATTGGAACACGCGTACATTTCAGCGAAAGCTCACGTAAATTACACGGAATAGTGTCAATGGAGAATTGATTAACCCTCACAGAAATTAATAGAATAGAAGATTAATTTGTTTACCCTTATATTGCTCCGATATTTGCTCCCACGTAATTCGCCATTACGTGTATCTTAACCCCTCCATTTTGTGCTATGTAAATTTGCGTACCGATGTTTAATGTAAAACAAGCATAAGGCTTTCCGTGTGCTGGAATATTAGGGACAATTAATTATCCCGTTTGTGTCGGTGATATAACATGTTATTACGATATCGGTATCTGCAACGTGCATACGTATTACGCACATAGGTAATATTGGTCCGTAATATCGGGCCATTAATGCCACGCATTTTCAAATCATAAACTGCATAATCCTTTCGTTTGTTCTTCTTTCATTAAACTGTGTAATTATCCATTATATATTTTTCATTTTCTGGAGAAACCTGATTGTATCGAAATAGGGAAATAGGAAAATCACTTTGCGTTACAGTAACGAAATAAGAAAATAAGAAAATATGCTACATTATGTTATAGGAATAAGAATATAATATTACAATAGTTATTACATTTACAAATTATTATACATTTTTATTTGAAAATAAAAGTTTGAAAATTGCTAAGTTGGAAGATTTGGAATTTTGGAAGTTTGAAAATTTAAGAATTTAAAAATTAAAATCTGGGAATTTAGGAATTTCAAAAGTACAATATTTAAGCATTTAGATGTGAAAATTTAAGATTTTCAAAATTATAATATTTAATAACTTAAAAGTCTACAATTTTTTATTATATGGATTTAGGAAATTTGACATTCCTGTATTTGTAAATGTCTATACTTCCCATTTTCTATTTTTCTAAGTATCTCAGTTGCAAACATTACCAAATATTACCATACCAATACATGTATCTCTACATTTTCCGAAAAGTCCACATTTCCGCACATGCACTCAAAACCCTCAGAAAGATTAATCCGATCAATTACTCCGAGTATTCCTATACTCTCCAAAAGGTCCATACTTCACTACATGCACCCAATATCCTCAAAAAAATTAATCAGATCGATTATTCCAAGTCGAATCCCAACAATCATCACACCACCTAATTCTCCTTCTCTTAACGAAATAAATCTCATCGCCCGTCTCACATAACGCAACACGCGATATGATAAACGAGACAGCGGTCTTCTATGGAAAAAAATCGCTTCAATTCTTTGCACTGATTACCTCATCCAAAATCTATGGTTCTAACAGATAATTTCTTTTGTAGTTCGATGGGGACGACGTTTACTTAACCGATGCCGAGGAGTTAGAGGGTTCAGGATATGTTAACGAAAATATGACTGACGTGAGTTACGTGATGAAAATACATTCCGCTGAAAAGTTACTAATCATGTGTGGTGGTGCTACTAATTAGCCGTTTCATAACCTAGTACGTACTTAACCCAATCGGATTAACGCAGCTTCCGCTATAAATACGATGAATAATTTATTATGAGAAATATATCGAATAACTTTGATTTTGAAATATTTTAGAGAAGCTGAGCAGCTTTATATCTGGTCTTTGTTTATTAAAAAGTTACTGTAGAAATTAAACCATAAAATTCAATTGATTGTAGTTTTAAAGAATGATTAATTTTTTTATGTACATAGTTTTTGTTATATCGCAAAATTTTCTTATATCTTTCATTTCTTTAATTTTTTTTATGATTTATTTGTTGTATTATGAAGAGAAGTAATAAATGCTTTTTAACACTTGATGAGTAATTGTTTATTTAATATTTGTCAAGAATTTTTTAATTTTTTGTATATACAGCGTAAATTGTAATCTATTTTAATACTAATATATCTGCAGTGCGTAATAACATTTTGTCTTTTGTTTGATAAAAATTCACTAATAATCTAATTTTAATCTTTTTATTCCTTCATCTAGCTATTTCACATCGTTTTGACTGTTATTACATTTGTAATAAATATTTTTTACGTTATATTTACTGCATTTAACACATACAATGTAAAGTGTCTGATTACAATTTGAATAGAACTGAGTTACGCGCCAATACGGCGCCATCTTAAATAACGGCGTGAAACATTTAGTTGACGTGTAATTATAATTTATTCAATAATATTCTTTGAGATTTAAAAAACTAGAGTACCAGTCATGGTAGTATACCTTCGATACTCAATAATTAACAGGACTATTTATAAATAAACGCAAATATTGTTTATTTTTTTATTTATTGTGCCACAAAAAGAGTCCTACATATTTTCTGACGCTTCGTTAATATGTAAATATGATTTATTCAGTATTATTCTTTAAATTCATACTAGATCATACTAGAATACTTCTAATACTTAATAGTCGACATAATTATTCATAAATTAAACCATTGCAAATACAAATATTATTTATTTCTTTACTTGTTATATCATAGAGAAAAGTTCCAACTTTTTGGTGTTTCTTTGACGTGTAACTACAATTTATTTAATATTCCTCAAGATTCAAAAAAGGTGAAGTATCAAACATACTAAAATATCTTCAATACTAAATTATCAACATAGAATTATTTATAAATTAACCCATTGCGAATACAGATATTATTTACTTCATTTGTTCTACTCCAAAGAGCAGTTCATAAAATCATAACCCCATCTTTATTTTCTTACAATTTGAATGCAAAAAGGAACTGAAACTAATTTATAGGTTATATTTCCTTATGAACAGAAATAAAAAAACAACTCCTTTTAATTCATTATTAAAATACATAATTAATACATCACTTCATGTGGAGATGCAGATGTCGATAAAAGTAATGATACATTCTTCAATCTTCCTTTATCAATAACTTTTCAATAAACAATAACGAATGAAGTTGTGAGAATGTTTGTTATAATGAATTTCAAGGTCATGGTCACTGAATTGATATTCGATATATTTTATCTACACTGTCGTTGACTGAAATTGAATTTCAAGCTCGACTGAAAAGAGATGCCGGAGGGAAAAAGTCTGATGATCCAGCGCACGTTCCGCGTGATTGCTTGTTACTTTGTAATTGTTATTAACTTTGTAACTACTAACAATACCGACGCCTGTAACGACCACTTTACAACGTTCGTCGGCGAGCTTTTTTCTGCCCACAGAAAGCAAGTGCTTTCATTTTCACGCTGCTCAATTGCACAACTTCTGATAACAAAAGATTATTACAAAGAACTTTATTAAATTTGTCGTTCTTGTCATCGAGTTAATAATTTTACTATTTTATATTCTCTTCTTTAAATTCTTATTTTATGGAGCTTTTATGCATAAATTAGGGATATTTGCAAAAATACAGTTTTTGTATAACATCTTTAATAAAACAGTTATTATTTTGTATTTTACCAGGTAAATATGCCTATTAACGATTTATTTTATTTAATTAAAATGTTTACTTTACTGAGTTTACTTTATTTAATTAAAAATGTCAAAATATTGAAGTTACAATTATTTTTAATTTTTTCACAAATCAACTATTAATTTATTCAGTTATATTAATTAAATAAGTACCAATATAAATTCTTATAAACGAATAACTTGCAACATTAAACCGATGAAGTTAATTACATTAATTTTTGCATAATTAACATTTATAATTAACAAGAATTACACACCAAAATATGCAAATAAAAATTATTTTCAAACAGATATCGGTTTTGAAAAGAGGTTCCGGTTTCAAAGCCATGAACAGGTGAAATCGTAGATGGACTCGTTCAGAAAGCAATAGAAATTGAAGTATTTCTATTGAAATAAATTCAAATGCGTATACTCCACACACGCCGTATAATTTTTGCTGCTATTTCTCTGAAAGTAAAATGTCTTTGACAAATGGATGTCATTTCAGTAAAGCTAAAATGAAAAAGTAATGTGCACATATTCCAATTTCAAGTATAATCGTAATGTTGGACCAATGATCGTAGGAGTCGAGGTCCTTATAAAATCAATCAATCAATCGTAACGTACAAATTTGTCTCATTCTAATTATGTCATTTTTCATATTTATATTTAATATAATTTTAAATGATTTTATATTATATTTTGTTATATTTATATTATATTTTATATCACTTTAATACACAACACCTCACCAATAAGATTAACAAATTGAAACCTATACACTCTCAATAAAAAAAAATATTTTCAAACAAAATATCAATTCACAAATTTTCCACATTTTTCGATTTCTCCATTGATCCCAGCAGCAATTTTTACTCCTCTAAGTCCACCAATTAAACTCTTCTCCAAGAATAAATATTCTCACAAACTTTCATCATTTTAAACGTTCCTATGTTATCATTATATCAATTAATCTGAAATTTCATATCTTACGCGCGTTCAATAGGATTCACAACCGGATTATTAGATCTGGAAGCTGTAACGGTGGATTTGGTCGACAGGTGGTGTTATGGGTAATCAATTATTAACACCTTGATTGCCACAGTGAAAACAGCCGTACGTGCTACGACATTCTGCAGTTGCAATTATGTGTTCAGAATACGATCGTTTCAATTTTCCCTTTAAACCGAGCGCCTGTTTCCTTGGGTAATTACCCTATCAGCCGCGGGCAATTTTTTCAATTTCCGTATGAAAACGTGGACCAATTTTGGTCGTGTTTTGATTCGTTATAAGAATTATATGAACCTTTAGCATCATATTGCGGTATGTATGTAGAGATGTCGATCTAAAGTACTATGCCTCCACTGTGGCTTCCAGCCTTACATTTCGGCAAATAAGAATAACAATAACAACTGCTGAACGCAATTCACACTATCTCATTCACTCTTAAGACGTTTGCCGACTGTTATTGTTTTTGGCCTAATTAGCCTAATTTCTATTCTGACCAATTGAAACCGTGGTCCTTCCAAACACCTGGGGTAGCCTCCTACGCCCCAATTCCTGGGTTGACTATGGTATGTACTGTAGGCAATCCTGCTACTTGCGCGTAGAAGGGTAAGGCAGGTTTAATCTCTTATGCACAACGCACCACTATAGTGGCTTTCACGAATGTTATCGTAGATTACACAGCGCCATTATAGTCACTCACTCTACTGGTTCACACGCTTAATTTCCAAATGTAAAATTGGAATTTTCTAAATTCTCAAATCTAAATTTCTAAACTTCCAAATTCCCAAATTCTGTAATCCAAATTTCTAAATTTCTAAATTTCTAAATTTCTAAATTTCTAAATTTCTAAATTTCTAAATTGTCAAATTTGAGTTTTACAACCTTGCAACTTAGTACGAATTTTAATATTAAGTTTAACATTAATTAGTTTTACAAATTTGTTCTATCACAAACCATCTATGTTTTTATCAGACCATCATCCCAGTTTTACAAAAGTACATATTATTAATACTTACGTTTCATTGTTTCTACTTGTATTTATAGTTTTGCATCTAATAAATGCATGACTGGCAGAAATACCAGTCATGTCATGAAATAACGTCACGATCCACAGATTTGCTCGTCGATAATGACTATATATTATAAATACATGGTGCAACTGGATGTTATAAATTATCTATCATATCTTTACTTAGGTAAATATGGTAGTATAGTTCTTATCTTCGATCTTGTTGCATTAGAACGCTTTTTATCATCATATATGCTATATAATTACAAATTTTATTTCTTCTTTAATGACCGATATTCTGACTTAAGTTAAATGAACCAGAATAATAACAGTGTAACCAACATACATGGTATCCCAGTTTTTTACCGGCAAGGTTCACCAAAATATTCCATACGCAAAACTAAGAAAAACATGTCACATTAACATTGTATCAGAACAACTCAATTTTTCGACGGTGAATACGCACAGTTTATTTCAATTATTATAACAACGTATTATGATTCAGTCTGCGAGTGATAGACATCAATATTACAACCAAATGCCGAAATACTTGCTCACGCAATGAAAGTCTTTGCAAAATACAAGTAAAGTCCGTAATGACAACAAGTATGTCCCGTAGTGACAAGTTATAAGTGAAGCCTCGTAACAACAAATATAAAGAATGAAACGCGTAGCAACAAATATAAGAGAATGAAGCCGCGGGCCCGGTGCCCTCGCTTATTTTATACGTTTCACTCCCCTACGACGTCTCCTAGCAACCACCCGATTTCTTCGAAATCTGCCACGTGCCCTCCGTCGACCTTGGCTTCGCGGTCATCCCTCTACGACCGATCCTTGCGATGCCGCCCGCCCTTTGCGGCCGAGCCGCCGCGCCGCCACGCCGCGCGCCGATACCGATGTCGCGCCGGCACTTGCCGGTACCCGCCGTCAAACGGAGCGGTCCGCGCCTTTGTACTCGTTT